GACAACCCCCTCTACTATTGAAGCTGATATTAGGAGAACAAGCCCTTTGGTCGAACATTCAAAAATCTTCAAGCTATGTAGAGAAGTTGACAAATGTGACAGAAACACTGACACAATCATCCAATGGTTCTTTAATATAAGAAAGAATGGCCCTTTTGAAGTAAAACCAATAATCACTGCCATTATGACCAAACTTGCTTATAGAGACTACATTTTTTTCAAAACATTTGCAAGAGACAATCTCCTCAAAGGCAAATACCAAATTGAATACGAAAACTTGGAGAAAGGATTTCACAATAATTATCTCAAAGCAAACAATATTGGTTATATCAATAGGTTAACAAAGAAAAAAATCAGGGCAATAATCAACAAAGCCCTCTTTATTATATACCTCAAATCCACCAACCTCACAATTTTAAAATACTGGCAAATAACTCAAATTCTTGACTTTGGCTTCAACTTTTTTATTGATCCCACTGTGGAAAAAATCGACTACCAAGCCATAATTCGAAAATGCGAAGAAGCAATTAAAGATAAACTCTCCACTTTCCCTACTCTTCCTAAACTTGTTCTATCCTCAATCAAAATTAAACTTTATAAAGTTATCCCAATTATCTCTTCCCGATACACAGCTAAAGTAGTCAATAGCCTCAGGGCCTTCTACAACTTTGACTGACTTTCTGAATCATACTTTGTACAAAGATCACCACTACCCGAGAATTCATCAGACCTTAAATTTGAACTTAGAAGTATTTTTCCCCTGATCAAGCGAAGCAATCTCAGAAACTTAAGAGATTTTACTAATAAACTAAGGAACTATTACTATATTTTTTCCAAGCTACCTGAATTATACTTCAAGCTTCCCTTACCAAAAACACTTTTGCTGACATCATACACAGAACTTCCATCTAACCTTGCTCACCACTTTCCAGTAGAAAGTAACTCTGAAAAAATTCACTTTGCCACACAACTTCTTAGAGACAACAACTTTGCAGTTCGTCATCTTTCTTTGGATTATATTCAAGTCAAGTGCTCACTTCCATTGGCACTATGATTCAGTAAAAACAACTCCATCATTTTACTAATTCAATCACAAGAAAAAGTCAAGGACTTCATTATTACACTTAAACAAAAATTCTTCATCAAGCTGCCTCTGGGTCCTGGGTGGATCTGTAAAAACCTAATCCAAGACTAAAGACCTTGCATTTCTGAAAAAATCGAAACACTTAAAGAGCAACTGAATATTACAAATGAAGAACTCCGCAGAGACTCACCAACACACCCACAAACCTTAAAAAGAATCAAAGAAACGTATCAAGGACAAATTCCCAGAGAATAGATCTCGCCAGTTCTCTCACTCCTGCCCTTCATGGAGGAAGCTAACAACCATTTGAAACAAAACGACATTAACATTACATTGCCACTAATTGAAGACACAATACCTAGCCAGTGCCATAAAACTACTTAAAAACTACTTCTATTTCGACAGCCTCCCTGCCACCTTTATCATTGAAAAAGAGTCACCTGACCCAGGCTTGACTCTTCTTCCCTACCTCTTTTAATTATGATGACTTCCACAACCAACTTAATTTTCTCCCTTACAACAACACCTCCATACTCCAGCCCTATACCGACTATTAAAAACCTTCTTACAATTACAACACTCAATGTTAGAGACCTTAACCAAAAAGGCAAGCTAAACGAAATCATCCATGCTATTAAAAATAAAAGAGCAATTTTCTACTATACCGAAACAAAAATATTATTAAACCATCAGTTGCCAAATAGAATAGACAAAATCATAATAGCAAGCAAACCTAGTTCCTCTGCCAGTAATGGCATATGCCTTATATATAATATCTCACATCTTCAAAATGTATACTGAAAATGAATACTGGTATGCAACCCACCTAAAATTCAAGCTCAAGGCCGATGTCATTATAATTACAATATACCTCCCGCATGACAGAGCAGACTGCCGTACAGCAATAATGTTTTTCAAAAACTTTCTCACCAATCACAAAAACAAACACCTTATCATCACTGGAGACGTTAATTCTTATCCAAAAGGTGACCCATCCATTAATACTCCGACCATGTTCCACAAGTAACAGGTTTATAAGCTCATAGAAAGTTTAATCGATATTACCAAAGTTATTAACAAGAAATGCCAATACACACACATCACAAACTCTAGTGCCTCAAGGCTGGATCAAATTTGGATCTCTGTAAACCTAGTAAGCAAAGTGTTAAGTTACAAAGTATCTGATCAATCATTCATTCCTACAGACCACAAAATGATTACCACTGTACTTGACTAGTTTGAATATAGACCTGATCATATCTTTTTTACCACCAAAGCCTATCAATTTGACAAAGCAACTAAAGAACAATTACAAGCTATACAGGAGTCTATTGAACTTGCTTGTACTGGGGCAAACAACCTTTCATGGAATGAAGTTAATTTAATTTTCAAAACAGCCATGAGCAACAATATTCCCTCTAAGCAACAAAGGGTATCCATATCACCAGCTAGTGCATTTCCCCAGTATGACAACAATATCCGAGTAGCAAAATTAACAATAAAAAGATTCGTAACAATAAAATACTTTACAAGCTCCTATAAATGGGATCAACTATTCTTGGAAACCTTACCAGCCAGCTACTATCCATTAAAACTCTCAGAAAAGTTATCAAAGTTCTTCTGAATAAAAAAATAGAAAAAGCAAGACAGCTCGCAATTGATGAGATCCGTTATCGCATTGAAAAAAATTTTCACAAATTTTGGAAGAAACCTAAAACAGCAATCAAAAAAGCCTTGGGGAATCTGAAACCATCTCTAGATCTCTCTATTCTATCAGATAGAAATGAACTTCATGATGACCCTAACAAGCTTAATGAAATCATCATTAACTACTTTAAAAACATCTTGCATAGCAAGCCTTTCAGTCTTGACCAGCAGTGGTTACCTAAATATGCTCCCAGAGATTCTATTCCCTCCAGTACCTTCGATGAAGCAACAGCAGAAATCATGTTGGATAAAATTAATAGTGCAAATGCCAATCTTCCCAAAAGAAAGTTACTTGGCCTTTCAACAATTTCCTATGAGCTGTGGTCAAACCTGGGCTCATCTGCAAAAATGTATATTAAAAAACTTTTTAACTCAATCATAAACTCTAGCAATCCTCCTATCCACTGGAAACACTCAGTTGTCACTCTCCTGCCAAAAAAAATAGTCTGGTCACATAAACTAGTGGATATCCAACCAATTTCTTTAATTGAAACTAGTAGGAAAATTTTTACCAAAATCATTAATACCAGCTGTCCAAAATCATTTGCAAAAACAAAATCCTATCAGAAAACTTCTTTGCAGATCTTAAAAATCAAAGTACCATGGAACCCCTAGCTATAATTTCATCTAAACTTGAAGCTGCAAACAATCTCAATAAAGAACACTGGATCATCTCCTTTGATATCTCTAAAGCTTTCGACTCTGTAAATCTTGATAGTTTGAAAGCAGCCATGAAACGAATCAAGCTTCCCCTACAAATAATTACTTTCATCTCAAACCTTCTCCACAATCACAAATTAAGCTTTATAACTTACTACAAACTCTCCAATCCATTAATAGTAAATAACGATCTGGACTAAGGAGAAATCTTGGCACCCTTACTTTGAATTATCTTCTATGACCCCATGGTATCTAAAATAACAAAACGACTGTCTAATAAAGCTCAAATTCTCACATACATGGATGATACTGCTATCTCAAGCAGCTCTTTACAAAACTTGCAAAGAGCCACAGATCTGTTCTGCTTCTTTCTTGAGTTAAACAACATCAAGTGTAATAAGAAAAAAACAGACCTTATAATCAATCTTAAACTTTCACACCCAAGCAAACAGAACTCTCTATTAGTCGAGGATGAACCAATTCATGCCAAACCATATAGTGAAGCCATCAAATACCTCAGCATCTTTCTCTCAAGAAATTCCTCCAACCACATAACAAAAAAAGCTCTTATCGAAAAAATTAAAAACTTCACATTGGCCATAGCAACTCAAAAATCATGAAATGGACAAATTATCAAACAAGTATCTCACTGGATTATTCCTGCACAACTGGAGTATGCCACGTATATCTCCTTTGCAACAAACATTGAAATAAACTTTCTTTAAGCCAAACTCAACAAAGCAACAAAATCAAAACTTGGCATTGAGCAAACAATCTTTAACAAAATCACTCACTCCAAAGCAGGCTTAGATCTAGTCAACTTGCAGAACAAAAGAGACATTACAGCAACCAAACTTTTGGTTACAAGGTTTGCCAACCCAGCAACCTTCCAGTTTATCAAATATGAAATCATATCAATACAAGCCACACACGCCATCTGGTCATGTTTCATTTGCTCCCACAGTTATTCAAAGACTCATGGTTAATGCAAGCAGTCAAGATCGCCATCAAATACCATATCAACGTCTGCCCAAACCCATGCCCATTCAACATGCCCAACCACAAAGTCTCAATCAGTCGGCTCACAAAAATCAGTAAAAAAACAGCTCTGTTCCTCTTCTTTTCTAACATTAAAATTCTTTCCAACATACTTGTTTTTAATGAGCCCTCTAAACTCACTTGGCAAGAATTCCTCACTCACAAGGGCTTTATCACCAAAGGCCCCATATCTCATTGGTTTACTAGCCTAACAAACATATCACCACCACTTGTTGGTGACACTCCACCCTTACCAAATCTGAGTTCCAGATTTTGGAGCTTTCTGGAAAATAATCACTTAAGCTTTATCAAAGTGAGACGCAATGCCATAATTCGACCCTTGCTTACCAGGAGATACCATGTTCTCACTCCAGGCAATAAACATATTATTACTTGTTCTTGTTCAATACAACCTTGCCTTAAAAGCAAGTACCTCGATGAACTCAAATCAACCTGGACCATAAAATATAACAGTTACCATGAACTCCTTAACAACATTGATGAACTGATTTCAATTCTCACCCCCATACCTACTCACACTCCTCAACAAATAATACAACCACTTCCAACTAATAATTAGCTAATAATCCATTTCACTATTATCATACATTCTAATGTTATTGACATCCGAACCAGTACCCTCCTGCTCTCCTATTCCAATAACTTCAATATCTGAGTAACCTTCTGGCCAATTCTTCTTCAAATGATAATCAACTCTGGGTCTAACGTCCACATAGTCTGCAAAGTCCATCCAAACCCAACCTTCACATCCAGAATACATCAACAGACAAGTCAAAGTCCCATTCTTCAGACTTATCAGCAGAATCAATAGAGAAACCGCTCTCATAAGTCTAATTATTACATGAGATAAGCTCAAACTTATCACTAAACCAATATCTCAAGCAACTTCTCTCTTAACTCTACCAATCATGCTATCCATTTTTTTCTCATCATCATCTCTTATCAACAATGCCAACGCAACAAGTATAATTCACTGGATCAAATTTGTGAATCTCTACTCAAATATTTATGACTTTACCTTTAGCCAATCAGCAACATACAAGCCCATCTCATTCAACCAGTTTGAGAACATTATCAATGCTAACAAAAAGCTCAGAAAAAGTGACTTACTTAAATACAGATCTCTCTCTACCTTTCGAACCAAACTTTTAGCAAACCAGCTTCCCACGAGATCCAAACTCCACAAGAGATATCTTTCACTTTATTCTGACAACATCTGCCCAAGGTGCGATATTGAAAAAGAAACTCTTAGTCACTTCTTGCCTGTTTACATAGCAATAGGTATATTATCAAAAAAAGGTCCAAGATCATTGACCTAATTCAACAAAGTCAACAAGATTACATCTCAAGGATTAATCCCCACATTTAATCAATTAGTACCACAGCAATTACCGGCCAGCTTATACTTCAAATGGCCCTTAGTATTTACCAATCCTCTTTTGAAACCGTCACCAAAAACAAAGATTGTATTTCAAATAAGTCACTAAAAATTCTTTACAGGATATGGAAACAAAGATTTGAAACTGCAACCACCTTACCCTCTACTGGAATAGCTTGAAAGAAAATAAAGGCAACAAATATTCAACCCCAGGCAAAAAATACCAATAGTGTATTTCCAACTATTATTAACATATTAAAAGCTAATCATTTAAATACTAACAAACTTATATTCTCCTCTACACCAACATTATTGTTCTGAATGAGCACAAGCCATTCAGCATTAGTAGTGTCTAATTCACTTACGTAGTGTAAATTGGTTCTACTAAGTTGTTACAATAGGCTACAATTAACTTACTCAGTGTAAAGATTGTTTATATACTGATTATAAACAAAAGTTTAATAAAAATCATGCATATTATGCTTATTTGCAATTAAAAAAAAAAAAAAAGTTGCAATTGTTAATAACTTCATAGTACTTTGTCCTGCCAGTCTTACAAAATTGACTTTGGAAAAAATATTGTTTTTGATGAGTATTGTTGATACTTATGTATTAATAATTTTTGTGAATACTTTTCTGGTTGCTTTGATTAGTAATGTTGATCTTGTAGTTGCAATTTTTTTTAACCAGATAATTTTTTTCAATAAAAGAACAATTGTTGATTTTTTTTAATTTTGTAGAATCTGTTCACTAATAAAGATAGAGTTGCATAATTTTAAAAGTATTTTTTTAGAGTTGTTATTCAAGTAGTTAATTATTTCATATGTGATTTCTGAATTGTTGGGAGTCTTATTAGCTGAAGTTTCATTGAGTATTCTGGAAAGTTCATTGTATTCAATTGGTTTCTGAAATGAATTGTAAATCTTAGCTAATATAGTTTCGATAGGGAAGTATATTCCTGTTCACAATGTATCTTCTATTATGAAGCTGCTATCAGCAAGTATTCTTTTGAAGTAATTTTTTTTCCCTCAATCAGGTTGGTGTCATTTATTTATTAAATCTAAATAAACCATTACAAATATAAATTGCATATATAAATTTTTCTGACCCAGCTCACCCATCTGTGACAAAGAGTCTCTAGATGCAATTTATGGAAATTATATATTGCTCATCCATTAATTGGAATTAAGATCCCATTTGTTTAATAGAGTCAAAGCCTGCAGATCATATGCCATAAACCCAAATTGAGTTTTTATTTAAGTGCTAACTATTTTTTCTTATTTTCTATGAACTCTTGTATTAGTTTTCTAACCTTGTCTAGTTTGTTTATATAACCTTCCGTCTTGTACCTTGCCTTTTCTCACCTTTTTTTTCTTTTGTTGTTCTGATTATTTGAAGGCTGGGTACTGATGGCATTGTTGATTTCTGTGAATCTGGAGATATGGTTTTCTGAACTAAGATCCATATCTGAACTAAGTTCTATTGATGGCAAAGGTGTGGGATCTTTCTTGATTTTTAGGTTTAGGCCCATGGTCTGATCAGCTGCTATTGTGATGCTACACCTGTGTCTTCATATTAATTTTCTGAATTGCTTGAGAAAGCTGGTAGCAGTCTTGCACAACAGTTGCCAGGCCTTGGATTGAGTAATCTTGGTACTTGTTTGTTTGCAATTCTTTTGAAGTAATTATTTATAATTTTTTTAATTAAATTATAATCATCTGTTATGTTTTCATTTTTATTTTGAATTATATTAAGATTTAGAGAAAACTTTAAGTCTCCCAGTACCTTTTTTATAAAGTTCTTTGGTTTTTTTCAAAATTTGATTAGGTTGTTTGTAATGGTTTTGTGGATTTGCTCTGCTTGTTACTCTTTAATATTGTAGAGTCTTTCTTTAATTAATATCTTACTTGTATTATTTTGTAATCTCTGGAAGACTAATATGTTTCTGTAAATGTTTTGATGAATAGTTATTATGTGTTTTGGAAAAGTAATTCCTTGTTGACATAATGAGCATTTTTTTCTTTTTTTTGTTTAATATTCTTTTGATATGATTGATTATCTTGAAATATTTGATGCATTTTGGTTCTTTAGCTTTTTATAGTTATGGCTTTATTAAAAAGAGGTTGTTTTTGACAGTGCGGACTAAGATATGATTGAAGTTTGTTTAAGAAGAACAGTTGGCCAGTAATACTTTAAGGTCTGATTCCTCTTTGAAGTTGACTTTCTATTGGTCAGTTGCTTTTTTCTAGTCATATCTTTGTTTGACACTTAGGAGCTGCCAGTTTGTATTCAATCAATCAAGAATTATTTGTACTTGTTTATGATCTGTATTAATTGAAGAAGAATTGAAAGTTTTTGCATCTAAAACTTTGGTTTCCAGATAGTTAATATATCAAATTGGATCAATTCTTGATGTGCTTATCTGGATTATATGTATGAATTCTTTTTTCTTACCCACTGCTTTGATAATGTCTGTTCAGTTATATAAGTAGTTATAAATTTTCTTTTTTAAATTAGTTATTGGAGTATTGATGGCAAGAGTATCAGAGAAGTATATGTTAAAGTCTTCTGCCATTATTTGATATATTAGCTTCTTGAATTTTTTGATAAATACAATCAGGGATTGCGTTGCTGCCTTTTTTTCACTGCATTCATATAAAAGATAGATAGAGATAATAATAATATCAATTTTTGGTTTGAATTTAAGATGAACTGCACATTGGTATTTGTTTTTAATAAATGTTTCAAAAATATGGTTGCTTAATTTCTTTTTCAATATTAAGCAGGAATCATTTTTTGTTGCGCTAAATAGCTTACTTGAGATAATTACCTTGTTATTGAGCTTCTTGTGAAGTAAGTTATTTTCTGGAGTTTTTGTTTCTAATTAATACAAGATACTGTAGTTTTGTTATTCTTAAGATTCTAAGTTAAAGCTATTAATTTGTTTCTATCATTTAATCCATAAACATTTAAAGTTGAAATATTAAGTTAATTTTTAATATAAGGTTTAGGGAATTTAGAGAAAGAATTTGTTGTATATTTGTATTTAAAGAGTGAATAAAGTTGAATAGCAATGTCATTTTAATTGATAAAAAAAATAACATTGAAGCCAGGCTTCAGCAGATCTTTGAGAGCAATGTATTCTTCTGGTAGCCTGTCGAAGATATATTTCTTGTGTAATTGTACAATAAGTATGAATAAAATTTTGTTATCAGTTAGAGGAAAGCAGATCAAGGAAAGATTGTCTTCTGATATTTTGTTAAGTTTTTCTATAGAGAGTAAGGGTGGCTTTGGAGCCTGGAATAATTCTTCTGGAATAGTACAGAACTTATACCTTTCATACAGTTTTTACATAATTAATAGAAAATTATCTGCTCAATAGTCAATATAATCTTTAATATCTATGAACTTGTCCACTTTAGAGATTTTGCTTGATAACTTTTCTTTGTCTGTTTGGAAGATGCTTGAGCTAATCCATTGTGGATCTAAAGATAGATTGAATTTGAAATCTTTTTGTAAGTGCTTTATAAGGCAGTCTGTATCCTCTTTGGTTGATACTGGCATGCTTATGTCTAAATCATCTAACAATGAATTAGAAGAGTAAAGTAGTGATCTTTTGAACTTGTAATAGTCCAGAGATAGAGTTTTGAGGCTATGTTTCTTTCTCAGAATACCAATAAGTTTTTTTGTGTTTATTATCATCAGATTATAAGAAAAATAATGTGCTAAATGTTTTAGGAGCAATTTGTATAATGCTGGATATGAAATTTTGGGTAATAGCAAATTGAAAAAAGTTTTGGATAGTTTAGTGTGAACTTTATAAAACTTGGCTAGTTTCTTAATTTTTATTAAAAGTTTTTTAAAGTTTTTTCTTTCAATAATAGGGAAAAGATATTTAATGTCTTTATTGAGATATTTGAAGTTCTCTGGCAAGAGATCAAATTTGAAAAAATAAGAGTTTGGCAATGGAAAAAACTTATAATATGCTCTTAAAATTGCTATGGTAAGTAAGAGCAGCAATCTTTTTTTGATTGAAAGTGGACTTGGAAATTTGATGATTATATTAGAAGGAATAGATTCTTTGATTATTTGGGAGGACTGATAGTGATTTATAAAGCATTTTTTTAATAATATCTAACAGTTCAATATAGTCAATAGTATTTTCATTATTCTTAATAAAGTAGTTGCATTCAAATTTTAAAATTTGTGCAATTTTAAAATACTTGAATTTGCTTATATTTGTAAATCTGAGGCAGGCCATGAATAGTGATAAGTTAAGAATCTATCTGATTTTCTTTTTAATTCTTCTGCTAATATATTTTGTTATTAATTTTTTTATAGTTTTCATGTACTTTTGTTTCTAGATGCTTGTATTTCTTTTGATAATTTTCTTTTAGAAATTCATTTTTAGTAAAGAATCTAAAGAATATCTATCTCTTAAGAGAATT